GGCATGGTTGTTGGTGCCAGAAGGGCTGGTCTGAGTTTTTCAGAAACTGCTGATCTACTGGGATTTTCACGCACAACCATCTCTAGGGTTTACAGAGAATGGTCCGAAAAAGAAAAAACATCCAGTGAGCGGCAGTCCTGTGGGCGGAAATGCCTTGTTGATGCCAGAGGTCAGAGGAGAATGGGCAGACTGGTTCGAGCTGATAGAAAGGCAACAGTGACTCAAATAACCACCCGTTACAACCGAGGTAGGCAGAAGAGCATCTCTGAACGCACAGTACGTCGAACTTTGAGGCAGATGGGCTTCAGCAGCAGAAGACCACACCGGGTGCCACTCCTTTCAGCTAAGAACAGGAAACTGAGGCTACAATTTGCACAAGCTCATCGAAATTGGACAAGAGAAGATTGGAAAAACGTTGCCTGGTCTGATGAGTCTCGATTTCTGCTGCGACATTCGGATGGTAGGGTCAGAATTTGGCGTCAACAACATGAAAGCATGGATCCATCCTGCCTTGTATCAACGGTTCAGGCTGGTGGTGGTGGTGTCATGGTGTGGGGAATCTTTTCTTGGCACTCTTTGGGCCCCTTGGTACCAATTCAGCATCGTTGCAACGCCACAGCCTACCTGAGTATTGTTGCTGACCATGTCCATCCCTTTATGACCACAATGTACCCAACATCTGATGGCTACTTTCAGCAGGATAATGCGCCATGTCATAAAGCTGGAATCATCTCAGACTGGTTTCTTGAACATGTCAATGAGTTCACTGTACTCAAATGGCCTCCACAGTCACCAGATCTCAATCCAATAGAGCATCTTTGGGATGTGGTGGAACGGGAGATTBGCATCATGGATGTGCAGCCGACAATTCTGCGGCAACTGCGTGATGCCATCATGTCGATATGGACCAAAATCTCTGAGGAATGCTTCCAGCACCTTGTTGAATCTATGCCACGAAGAATTGAGGCAGTTCTGAAGGCAAAAGAGGGTCCAACCCGTTACTAGCGTGGTGTACCTAATAAAGTGGCCGGTGAGTGTAGGTTAATAATATATAACAAAGTTTTCCTCAGTCAGCACAACATTATAGTGGGACAGGGATTTAACTAGTACAATAAAATGCAGGTGAAATTAGGTTTTTAGAATCAAGATAAATCTATGATGGTCGTCAAGAGCTTACATATTTATGGTGCTATAAATACTGGTGTATAGATTCTCTCACTGTGATTACACGCATCAGAAGCCTTCCACCTTGGAGAATTTCAAACCTTCTACTCTCCGTGGCATTTAGTATGTTGGAGGCTGRGTCAGATCCACCCATACACTCAGTAACAAACATGTTCTTGTTTACAGATTTCTCCATACGCCTCCCACAAGTCATACAAATCATGGCCATTAACAGTGTCATGGATGCAGCTCACCTTCGACATCTGCAGAGTCCTGCGGGTTTATAACAAAACAACACGCTTTGCTGAGTTTTACCAGCACTTCTTCTTCAACCTGTCATGGAAACTTTTATAGTGGTTGCCAACTGTAGCGACAGCCGTCTCTGCTCTGCCGTGCTGCCCAGATCATCAATTACAGGAGTCCACTAAACACCCCGGACCCACATGCTGGGACAGAGGGTGTCACGCTCAAAGGATGAGCATCGACAAGCCCAGCAGCTGCTCCCTTCAAACAAAAAGACCCACACTGCATAAGGCGCTCATTTACGCGATTCACAAATCTGACAAGGGACGTTGTTTCCTCTATTTATCAAAGAAAATGCTCGAACACGAGCAGCTCTGTTCACGCTGAAAAGCTCCACTGAACAAGATGCTTGAGACTACGAACGGGCGAACTTCCTCCATGTCTCATATGATGCGTTTATGTTAAAGAAGAGTTTATGCTAATTCCTAAAACTGCCAGGGGTTGTTTTTCTATTTTCCATCAAAAATCTTTATGTTTCTAATCATCGCTCTAAGAATGAGTTTCTCACTATGTTAGCAGTGTCCTGCTGAGAAACTTCACTGGTTGCTTCCAACCATGACATGAAGCAAAGCTTTGAGGCACAGCTGGTGTCGGAGCAGGACGAGCCAAAGACATTATGTTTTCCACAAATGGAACGCCACACTGGGGTTTTTCTAGTGCCTCTTAAATGCATTTTTGTAATTAAGTTGTCTCAATCATAATTGAATTTTAGACATTGTCTGTGGCCTCACGGTAATTTGTCTCACCTTTGATTCTGTATCATTATTTTATTGTGTGAATGCGGATTCAGCAATCATAGGTTTACCTGGGATTTTTGTTTTCCCATTTTTTGCAGTTGAACTACATCTTAATATTTGCATTATTTTAGCCATTCATTTACCAAAACAACAAGCTTATTCAGGAGATGGCTGATATGACTTGTTTTTGTAACTTTTTTTTTATTTTCTCCAACATAAAACAAATATTTTCCACATAAATATACTTTCCAGAAAGAAAATGTTACCCTGCTTCAGAGTACTTGTTCTGTTTTGGTCTTCTTGTGCTACTTTTATTGTATTGCTACCACTCGGCTACTTTTAGCTTGAAATAGTATTTTGATACTTTTAATCTTTAGCTATGCTTTTGACAAATTAAGGTTCAAACTAGTCTTTGCTACATTAAACTAGTATTTAGTTACCATTAACTTTTAACTATTTTTGTTGTTCTTTTAGGCTTTTAGATGCATTTAAATACTTTTAGCTAGTTTTTGATGCTTTTAGCTAGCATTTTCTTTCATTTAACTTTTAGCTAGCCCTTTCTTCTGTTACATTACATAAACTTTTGTTGCTTTTGGTAATTCTATGGCCACTTTTGGCTCATACATAGTATTTTGCTTCTTTCAGCTTTAAGCTATTGTTGTACTTCTTTTAGCTTGCGTTCTGTTTATTTTAGCTAGTGTCCTATGTCTTTTAGCATTTAGCTAGTGCTCTGTCTCCTTTAGCAAGTGTCCTGCTTCTTTGAGCTAGTGTCCTATGTATTTTAGCTTTTAGTTAGTGTTTTGTGCCTGTTAGCTTTTAGCTAGTGTTCAGCTTCTTTTAGGTAGTGTTCTGCTTCTATTACAATTTAGCTAATAATCTATTGTTTAAGCTAAAGTGCTGTGTATTTCAGCTATTAACTAGTGATCTGCTTTTTTTTAGCTTTTAGCCAGCTTCTTTTAGGTAATGTCATGCTTCTTTTAGCATTTAGCTAACATTCTGCATCTTTAAGCTAACGTCGTGCATCTTTTAGTGAACTGCTTCTTTTAGCTTTGAGTTGGTATTCCACATCTTTTATCATTTAGCTAGTCTTTTGCTTTTTTTTTTTTTACTTTAAACGACTCAATTTTGGCTTCTTCAGCAAATTTCAGCGAAGTCATTCAGCTCTCAGCATTTACACATTATTTTTGTGGAAAATGCTTTTTCACTTGTATTTAAATTGCGCCTTGATGTCAAATAGTTTTGTCCCGTCGTTTTATGAGTCCTGCTTAACGCTGCAGCCATGAAGAGAACACAACAAATATCACAATGAAGACACTCCCACATGGAGGACGCCGAGACAAAACAGGTTAAACAAGAACAGCAAAGTGAACCAAAGGCATACAGTGTTTTAAATGTTGATTTTTAAAAACAGTTATCTGTGGGCCAGGCTTAAACTGTTTAAGGATGTTGTTGTTGTTGTTGTTTTTTCTTTACTTTGAACTAATACAAAAAAGATGTAAAAATATATAAAATCATATATATGATCAAAAATTCATATAAAAGTAGATAGAGTAGCAGAAGGGACATGTTCTACAGAGGTGCTTCAGTCGGAGCTGTCCATGGTGCTGAAATGAAAATGATTTCATTGTTGAATCTGTTCATGTATGTAGGTCTTAAATAAAAGAAACATAATTCAAATTTGTTACAAAGACATGAAATTCTGCTCAGATTCACTGTGAAGCTCGACAAAAGGAGAGCAGCATCACTTTAAAACATTGTTTAAGAATGAGTACATACTGTACTTTTGTCTAATGTTGGTTTCCAGTGTTCTCACATACACAAAAAAGTGCATGTCCATTATTTCTTGTTTTTCTGCACCAGGCCAGTGTACACAGTGGCGAAACAGAGTGCCCACTGCTGGACGGCATCAAACATTCATGTGGAAATAATGAAGGTCAGATGTGGAAGGAAAAACTAAAAATGGGGGATGAACTAAACCTGTACTTAATCCTAAACAAACTTAGTGGTAAAAAATCATCATTAAAAAGAGCCTGAATAAACAAATAACATGTTTACTTCAAATTTATAATTCATCTTAGAGGCCAGATTATACAGCAAACTACTATATATTATAATAATAGACTAAATCTGTACAAATGCTGTAATGATAGTTGTTTTATTATTTTTGGTATAAGCTCAGAACAAGCAAAGAAATAACTGACTTTTGCAGCAAGTTCAGACTTTAAAAGGTTCCAGATTAGTACAGAACTCAAACACGATCCAATCCATCATCAAAGCAAGCACAACATGACAGCATGCCTGACCAAACTATAAAACAGGGGATGCAGTGGTCTTATAGAAAGTGTGCTGCATTTCAAATATAAAGAGCCCAAACTTGACCCATCCTTGAGGGGGACGCTGACATGGACGAGGGGCAAACGGTTCTGGTTAATAGCTGGTTTGAGGAAGCTCAGCCTTGGCAGCTGGTTGGATGCTGAGGCAGCTCCACATGGGCACATAATGGGACACTGCAGCACAAAAGAACCGTGTGCACAGAAACTTGCCTGGGAGCGTCGGGGAGTCCCGCACTGAGTTTCCTCCCACCCACCTCCCCTTCTCCCTCTCTCTCCGATTTCTCTCTATCTCAGTCTCTCATTCACTCACTGTTTTTTTTTTACCAAACAGAAAATGTAAATCCTTCAAAATGAAAAACAATAGAGCTGTAATAATTAAAAAAAACTATAAAAATATAAATATCAATCTCCTTAAAACCACACAAAGAAGTTGGAAGTAAAAGAGGGGGATGCAGCTGCTTACCTTCTGTGCAGGATGCTCCTCTGGATGCTGAGCTTGACCCTTTTTTTTTTCCCGCAGACTCCGACACACTTTGAGACAGGGAGAGAAAGAATCAGTCTCCTCTTACTTTCTCCTACTTCCAGTTTGAGACTAAAAATGAATCAAACAGAGCCGTGCACACACACACACCTTTTGCTCGGCTCCTCTGAAACTCACAACACACACACACACACACTCTCACACACACACTGGTACCCCAAGACTGAAGTACAACAAACTGATACAGATCTGCTCAGGAAGAGGGATGAAAACTACACACACTCACACACTGCAGCGATTTTAGTTTTTTTTCCCCTCCATCCTCTTGCCCACTAGCTTCAGAGCTTTTTTTTTTTTATCTTTGCCTGTACTCTCTTTCTGATTGGCTCAGCAGCTCTTCAATAACATAAGCTCTCTCCTTTAATTGGAAGGCAGCCAGTTGTGTGGTGCACCAGAGCCCCTCCCGTCCTGCTCATATCTCCTCTCCGTTTTTTTTTTTACCTCCAAAGTGCCTGGAGAGAAGAATGCTGAGCTCTGCAATTTCGTACACATTGGGGAAAGATGTTTTTTTATGAGAGATGGAAGGCAGCAGTGGGGGGGTGATGGTGGAGGAGAGCATCCGAGGACGAATCAATGGACTGCAGTGGGACAAGCAGGAACAAAGAGATGAGGATGGACTGGGTGGGTGGGTGTAGGGGGGGGTCAGGTGTGGTGGGAGCAGGTTGGGATGAGCCGGGTCCTCCCGCTGCAGCAGTTTGACAGCAGGCTGAATGAAACAGAGCTTTCCCTGCGCTCACTGCAGCGCAGCTATAGGTGGCTCTGCTGCAGTGCGAGTCTGATTGCCAGGCAAGAAGGGGAGGGGGGAGAGAGATGGGATAGGAAGGGAAGGGAGGAGGAGGAGGAGGAAGGTGGGGGTCGGCTGCAGTGAGACAGAAGTACAGTCTTCCAGGCAGCCTGGATGTATGGGAGAGAAAATGGGCAGCTCAGCCACAGAGTGAAGAGTCCACAGCAGCCAGTGGCTTTTAGTTCATGMATTATTGAAGGTGTCCCACAGGAAGAGAGGGCAGCAGAGTCTGTTGAGGCACCAAACTAACACTCAACATGTCCGCCGCTTTGTTTCTTCATCGTCCAAAGGCTGATTCAGCATTCGTTCTTTTGCATTTTTCTACTTGCTTGTTTTGCAACCTAAAGGCTGCTGCATACTTTGCCACAATTGAGCTGTTCAGTGTCAAAATGTTCAGCTCATTCTGGAGACATGCAGGTGCTGTCAATTTTTGTTTTTTGTTCATACTTTTTAAAGGGGACCTATTATGCAAAATTCACTTTTTAAAGCTTTTTTTACTCAACTTTGGGTATGTACTTCTTAAAAAAACAGTCCTAGGGCCAAAAAATCAGCCCCTTACCTAGCAACCCCTGGATGAGAAACCACCTCCTCAGTATAAAAAGCCGTCACGTTGTTGTTGTGTATTGCGCAGCTCATTTCACAACAAGTCTCCAATAGGGGAATGTGTAGAGTGTTGGACCAGAGAGTGGGAGACAGGGTTAAAGACTGGCATGGACACTATTTAATTATTTATTTTTTTCCATTTGTTATGAACACATTTTCTCATGTASCTCTATTGTTTAGCTTATTAAAGCCTTGTTAAAGCCTATTTGTTCGGGTTTCTGAGGTATTTCGACCGCTGCTGCTCCCTGCTCTGGTAACAGCATGCAGAGTGAGCGGCGCGCAGAGCAGAGGCGGAGAAAGAAAAAAAAGCTGGGACCACGACTCTGCCTCTGGGTCTCTCCAACGGAGCTTCTGCTATTATTAGCCATGCTAACGTAAACGCTGGCTTTGGAGGGCGGAGTTAATGTCAACAGATTTTTGGAGGGCGTTACCAACAGAGCTCATTAACATAAACAGCTCTTCTGAACGGAAGTCAGAGCAGGCAGAACTAGAAAATGGGAAATTTTATTATCTGAGAATTATTTTGTGCATTAAATTGAATGAAAATGGTCTGRATATCCCACAGACATACCATAAAATTTTCTAGGACCCATAATTGGTCTCCTTTAAAGAAATCAGGGCTCCACCATATCAGTGCTGTAGTCTCATAATCCTGAGGATGCAGATTGGAACCCAGGATACATCAGAGATGGTAGCTGGTGTAAGAAAAGCCTAATCTTTCATGATAGTTTGCTCCTTTTGGACTTTTATCCAATGCTCTGCTTCATTAACAGTTCAGTTCGAGCTTCTTCAGCAAATCCAGCTGTCGTTAAGCTCAGCATTTACCCTACATTTTTGCAGAAACTGCAATTTATCTAATTTAAAATACAGTGAATTCTCAGTGTTGGCTTCTCTCTCTCTCGCCACTTTTATTTATGATCCATAGAAAGGCTTCCTCCAGCTGARGTAAAAAGGAGGAGTGGTGTTGGATTCATTGCTCCTCCATTTAATTTAATTTATTTATTTATTTGGCTCCTCCCTGACTCTCATCTGGCTCATTGCATCCCAGCTGCACTCAGGCACAATACCCGAGCAGATCAATAGATCATACAATACCTCGACCATCTGCACGGCCCACAATGTGAGCTGCACAAGTTACAAAGCAAGCACAGAGGGAGAAATGCAATCACGGTGTTTGCTGAGCCATCAGCAGAAATGGCTCATGAATGAATTAAAAGACACCTGATACTTTAAGCTCAGCATTCACTTGTAAATCACCTGATGGTGTCAAATACATTTTTTGTTTGTATAAAACCTAACATAAAGTCACTTGTCAGATGGGCACAATTCTCTAATAAGTAAGTATTAAACCTTTACTTAAGAAACCTGATCTTCATTCAGGAGTTCTGGCCAACTAATCCCCCATTCATCTCAAAAATTATTGAGAAATTAGTTGCAAATCAGCTATGTGAACATTTGGATAGAAATAATCTAAATGAAGAGTTTCAGTCAGGGTTTAGAGCTCATCATAGCACAGAAACAGCACTGGTGAATGTTACTAATGATATTCTTATGGCCTCAGACAGTGGACTTGTACCCATTCTTGTCCTGTTAGATCTCAGTGCTGCATTGGATACAATTGATCACAATATTTTATTACATAGACTTGAACTTTACATTGGGATTACAGGAACATCTTTAAAATGGTTTGAGTCTTATTTAACTGATAGATTTCAATTTGTTAATGTTAATAATGAATATTCTTCTTACACCAGAGTTAGTCATGGAGTTCCTCAGGGTTCAGTGCTTGGACCAGTCCTCATTACTTTGTATATGATTCCTTTAGGTAAAATTATTAAACAGCATGGGATAAATTTCCATTGTTATGCTGATGATACTGTTATATTTATCCATGAAACATGATGAATGCAACCAGTTAAACTACAAGCATGTCTTACAGACTTAAAAACATGGATGACTCTTAATTTTCTGCTTCTAAACTCAGATAAGACAGAGGTTGTGGTTTTTGGACCTGAACATCTTACGGATCAACTTTGTAGCATTTCACGTCCTCTGGATGGCATTAATATGGCCTCCAGTTCTAATGTAAAGAAACTTGGTGTGATTTTTGATCAGGACATGTCTTTTTAACCCCCGCATTAAAATTGTTACCAGGACCGCCTTCTTCCACCTGCGTAATATCACTAAAATTAGAAATATTTTGTCCAAAAATGTTGCAGAAAAACTGATTAATGCATTTATCACGTCTAGACTGGATTACTGTAATTCCTTATTATCTGGGCATCCAAAAAACTCTTTAAGAAGTCTTCAGTTGATCCAAAATGATGCTGCTAGGGTTTTAATGAGAGTTGGAAGGAGAAATCATATTTCTCTAGTTTTAGCTTCTCTCCACTGGCTCCCTGTCAAATTTAGAATAGAATTTAAAATATTACTCCTAACATACAAAGCTCTTAACAACCAAGCTCCATCATATATTAAAGATCTTACTGTTCCATACTTTCCTAACAGAGCACTTCGCTCTCAGATTGCAGGTTTTCTTGTGGTTCCTGGAGTTTCTAAAAGTAGAATGGGAGGCAGAGCTTTCAGTTATCAAGCTCCTCTCTTGTGGAACCAACTTCCAGTTTCTGTCTGTGAGGCTGACACTCCATCTACTTTTAAGATTAGACTGAAGACTTTACTTTTTGATATAGTTAGGCTTAGGTTTCCTGAATTATTCTTCATTTCTGCTGCTATAGACTTGGACTGCTGGAGCACAAACTGAGCACATCTTCTCATTCTGCTGTTGTCTTTAGTCTCTCTTCTCTACATGTTATTGTTAATATTTCTATCATGTTTTTTCTTTGTCTCTTCCAGAAGAAGGTGCACCTGGACCAGTCCCGGACCAGTTCTTCTGTGTTTGTCTGTCTCTTTCCTGTCCCTCAACCAGCCGGTCGAGGCAGATGGCCGCCTGTCCTGAGCCTGGTTCTGCTGGAGGTTTCTTCCTGATTAGCAGGGGGTTTTCCCTCTCCACAATTTGCTCAGGATGGGAGACTGTGATGAAGTGATTCAACGCAGCCTGCTGGTTTCTTCTTTAGATTGTTCTTTTTATGTACAGTGCCCTGAGACAACGTATGTTGTGACTTGGCGCTATATAAATAAACTTGAAATTGAATGTAAGTTTTTGGCATTTTGCTAGTTTGTTAGGATACTTGATTAATTCTCAGGGGGAAATCTGATTGTGAAAGAATATCATGTCCAAACAACCAGGACAAAAATAATATAAACAAGATAAAAATGTAAGCTGCAAGCAGTGATGAACACCTGAGGTCAATGAGCACCATCATGAGTTTACACCTGGAACGTGGGACTGTTTATGGACAAGTGTCCAATTACATGAAGACTAATGGGTGGGTGGTCCTACCAAAGATGTACCCAATGAAGTTTCTAATGAGTATTGAGGATCAACCTTCACCAAGCATGATGTTTGGTGGTGACTGGATGTTCATCATTTCTTTTATCTTCTAGTGCCTGTGTCAAACTTAAGGCCTGCGAGCCAGAAGTGGCCCACCACAGCATTTTATGTGACCAGGGATAACTTCAATGAAGTATTGATCTCAATCAGTGGGTGTTTCTTTAAATCCATCATAGACTATAAACTATCTCAGAGTTCATGTTGAATATTTTACTCACAAAGTAACTGCCTCCCACTGACAGGGTTTAACCAGCAGCCCACAGTGTAAAATCTCAATTTCACTGTATTAATGCCAGCTAGATTTACTGCAGCCCAGTTATACTGGGAAGTGGGAATTTCCCAATTACAAGTCTTAAATTTAAACTAAAACACCCCTTTCTGTATTATTTATTTCACATTTAATCATTTGGACATGTAGTGCTTTTCAGTTTTTATAAGAGGATGTTTATATGCAGGAAATACCAAGTAGAGCTCAGTTGTTTGTTTGGGGGGGGGGGGTTGCAACTCACCACCGCTAAAACCAAAAAAAAAAACTTAATTTAACATGTTTATTGAGTAGACTTAACAATAAATGTTTAAATTTAGGGCCAAAACATATTTTTCCAACTTCTAAAGCCCAGCAGATCAGTCAGAGGAGGAGATGAAACACTTCATATTAAGGCCCTCACAATAATTCTTCTGTACATATTTTAACTACGAGCTTACAGACTCGATTTTTAACTTGATTAACCTTCTTTTGAATAACATATTTGCAAATAATTTATAACAAAACATATTTTCCACTGGAAAAAGCAAACCCTTATTGGAACAATAGAAAAAATTATACTAAATAAACAGAGTGGCTTTTTTCATGAATCGTCAGCGCATGTTTTCCTTCATCACTGTGGCTTCTTCCCTCTGAGGGAGGCTGTAGACTGTGATGGAGATGCCTGTGTGTTTGAAGACCTGTTCCAGTATCATCAACACTTCTGACCACTTCAGTCCGTCCAGTCCACACCCAATACTGAGAAATGGCAAATGACAAACATGCTGTTTAATCAGAGCCATACGAGCACGAAGCTCTGGGAATTTTTAAGCAGAAAAAAATTGAAAAACATTTCAAGGCTTCAGTAGCGCAACTTTAGGTAAGTGTTTAAAATGCAACTAAAGCAGAATGAATGCAATGATTTGCAAATCTTATAAACCCATATTTAATATGATTTATTTTTTCTTGAAAATGGCACAAATTATTCGTTTAAACATATGATGTTCTATGAATAAAATCAGGTTTTAGACTATTTGCAAATGAGTTCTGTTTAGATTTTTTTTCTTTTTTCCCCATTTTATGCAACATTCCAACTTCTTTAGAGTTGAAGACAGGAGATGCAGGATACCTTACCGAGGCATTGATATTCTTGTCACTCCATTTTCTACACAGTGAGACTTCATGTCTTCCAGACTGTGCTTCAGGCTGTCATAGGTGGGTCTGTGGGTGTATTTTTTCTTCGTAATCTGAGACACAAACATCAGAAAAAGTGACTGAAATATACAAGACTGAATAAAGTAACTTTTATTTTGTGCTGTATATTGACTGACAACATATTTACTAGATAGTAGATGAAACGTCTTCCCTGTTTCAGTACAGCACACTGCCCAGTCACCTTCTCTGTTGAGACAAACAAGACCATTAAATAATACAAAACCGTAAAGTAAATGAAATCCACTGAACTGTAGTAAACAACTCTAAATATATATGTTTTAGGCTACTAATAATATGGTTAGTGTTGCAATGTGTTTTGTAATCAGATTCAGCACCTTATCAGTATTATTACTGGTGAGTTTTGAGTGATCAGACTGACTTACTCTGCTCCTTCAGCTTTGAAACCCCTCCGAACTTCTGCCTGAACGTGACCGCTACCCCTGCCCCCATGTGACAGTCCTCACTGATGCAGTGGGCCAGAGCGTCATCCGCTGGGCACGAGAACAGGTCCCCGGTGACGTAAAGCGGCTTCCAGCTGTCTTCACCTAGCTGACCAGCAGGGGGGAGCATTGCGCCGTTTAATAAAAGGTAAACACCGGAAAACAACACCGACAGCAGCCTGCCTATTTAAAGCCAGGCAAATAAAACAGTCCAGTCGAGTATCTTAAAGCTTTACCTTCTTTGTGTCCGTGCAGAAAGAAGCCTGGACGTTCGACGACATTGAGACCAGCTGGAGCTCCTTTTCTGACTCTAGGAAAAGTCTTTGAAGTTGTAGCTACATTAGCATTAGCATTACCGACAAGAACACGACATAAAAAAGTATCTACAGGTACGTTTGAGAAGAAGACTAGTTTATTAGCTTTAATAAGACGCTTTAGACTCGTTTTAAAAGAAGCTAACCCTTTAAATGCTAAAAACTAAACTATCTCGGTTAGATTTACGACTTTGCTGGAAGTACAACACAAGCGCTAATGCCAAACCACAGAATGTCTCGCGAGGAAATTCGAGATTTTAGATAGATAGATAGATAGATAGATAGATAGATAGATAGATAGATAGATAGATAGATAGATAGATAGATAGACATNTAGATAGATAGATAGATAGATAGATAGATAGATAGATAGATAGATAGATAGATAGATAGATAGATAGATAGACATAAAAATACAGTAATAATAGATAGATAAGCATAAAAATGCAGTAACAGTAATAATAGGAAAAAAATGAAAGTTTTAGTGTGTTGATTTATTAAACAACTGTTACACTTGATTTATGACAGAAAAAATATAGTAAGTGCTTTACAACTACTGCATGTGTAAAATACATAAATAAACTTACATTTACATAATATGCAAAAAATAAGAGGAAGAGTACTGTTGCATTAGCTCTATAGCTTGATGTTAAAGAGAAGCAAAACAAGATTGTGATGGAAATATATCTAAAATCATCTTAAGTGAAATGACGGTTTGACGTTTATTTACATTTTATACAAAGTCACAGAGTGAATGATCACACGTCCTTTGGAGGAGTCAGTCTTAGAAGTTTGCGCTGCGTCTCCGCTCATTGAGCCAGTCCCCAGGGTTCACATCCATCTGCAGCATCTTCATCACCCACTTGTCCCTCCGTGCTCCGTCTATGAACTCATCCAGCGAGAGCTCACCTATGTGGCAAAGGACAGTTAGAGTTTATGCTTAAACCTGTATTTTCTGTCAGAAGAACGTCATCAGTTCATTACAGCAGACTGACAAATACCCAACAAAGCACATAAAAGTCCAAAAAAAAGCAAACACTTACCATCTCCGTTTTCATCAACCAACTCAAATATCCGATCAACCACTTGGTCCGGAGTAAGCAGGTTACATTCTTCATCCAGTTCTCCATGGCAGGCTTTCTTTAGCCGGTAAATAGACTGAAAAAGGCAGGAAATGTTTTTTTTAACTGACTCCTGCACAATTTCTTTCCATTATAAAGCCTAAGGATTTCTTTGGAGGCATTGTAAATCTTTTAAAACACCATCAACAATACAGGAAATGTGAGAGCCACAACAGGAGGAAACCTTACCTCCACAATTTCAAGAAGTTCTGTTTTATCGATGCACCCACTTCCGTCCTTATCGTACATTTTGAAAGTCCATTTAAGTTTGTGCTCCAGTTTTCCTCGTAGGACTAAGTTCAAAGCTGCCACGTACTCCAGAAAATCAATGGTGTTGTCCTGAGAACACAAACAGGAATAGTTCAAACACTGAACAAACATTCATAGGAGACACCTTGATTAAACATGCTAAATAAAGTACATTAATTATTTAGGAAAATGTTATAAATCTTTAGAGGCTTTTGATAAAATCCTAAATTATGCTTTTGATGTTTTTAAGTGGCATCTTTAAGAAATGCCTCCTACAGTGAAACCGGGATATCTGTAAAATTAGTTTAATGAGTTCACATACTTGAACTACAAACTGCTGTATACAGTATATTAAACAGCAGCTGAACTAGCTTCTATTTAAGTATGCCAATGAAATAATAAAGATAGCAATAAAAGTTGCTCCTTTTATCAAATGTCAATGCTGTGGAGCATAGCACTAAGTACTGAGTAAGTACTGCGTGAAGTACTTACGCCGTTCTTGTCAAAGGCTCGAAACATGTTTTCGATGTAATCTGCAGCCTCCTTGTTATGAGTAACGCCGAAAAAGCTCTTGAACTCGTGCATGAACAGCGTTCCACTCGGACACTCCACAACAAATTTTTTGTACCATTCCTGCAGCTCCGCCACATCGATTTCCTTGTCCGGGTCACTGTCCTCGCTCAGACGCTGACCCATGGTAGGAAGGTGTTTCTCCGACTCCCCTAATGTTGAAATTGTTTCTTACATCACATTCACCAGTTTGAGAGAACTTTCTCTGAAACTTTTCCTTAACTAAATAAAATCTAGAAAAGCTAAAACGTGGTCAGTAAAAGCCAGTTCCTCCAACAGGGTTACTGCTGATCAGCAGAAACTAAAATAATCCAAAAAAGAACGAAAGGCCAAAAGGAGCAGACGTGTCATTAGGATCTGGGTTGCAACAAATCCTTTCTAAAAGTGAGGATGAGACTCAGGTTTGTGTGGATCACGTGATAATGGATTATAAATGAAGACTTGTCAAACTCAATTAGTTCATACAAAGAAGATGAAAGGATTTTCTCTGGGTTGCAGCATGTACCAAAGCTAAACAAGAACCGTTACATGCCTGGTTTGTGAGCATTGTGGATGCTGCCTCACTAAAGTAAGTTTCAGGGACCACTGATGATGCAGACGTGATGCAACAAGGTCATTTTAGTAACGGGGTTCTGTGAATATGTTAGTTTACTTAAAGTACTCTAGTGATTTTATCATCAGTTTTGCAGTGTATGGTTATTTGCAGACAACTCTGTAGTTATTTCAAGTACAAAGGGCAGCAGCAGCAAAGTGTAGCATGTTAGGTGCAGCCTGGGGGTCTGTTCCAGCAGGAATCTTCTAATGTTTCAACAAGAATAACTAATAAAAAACTGACTGTGGTGTAAAAGTTTATTTATTGTTTGTGTGATCCATTAGGAAGTTTTGAATAAAGCAAAAACTTTGAATAAGTTTAAAAAAAAACATATATTTATCCAAACCGAGGTCATTCAGACAGCTACATGGAACATGTAAACCAGTAGTGTCCAATCCTGGTGCTTGAGGGTCACTGTCCTGCATGTTTTAGTTGTTTCTCTGTCTGAGTTGAAGGAATAAGTGATTAACCTGCTGAAGAGCAGAGGAACATCTAAAACAAGCTGGATAGTGGCCCTCAAGGACCAAGATTGGACCCCACGGATATAAAATGTGACTTTTCCCAAACATCACTTCGAAAGATTTGAACTATTTGTTTTGTGCAGACATGAATGCTACAAAAAGTTTGATTAGAATTTCATAGGTTTTTGTTGGGTCATGCGTATTGCAATACTTTGCCATTTACGCCGAATTCTGTGGTTATTTCCAACTGTAGCAGCAGCAGCCAGCTGTTGCATCTCCAGTGCAGTCTGTGTTGATTCTGGCAGGAAATTCATGTTTTTTGACAATATAATTATGCTCAGTTAAAAAAATATATAAATCTTTACTTGTTAGTTCACATACACTCAATGAAGAATGTTGTTTTTAAGACAACAGTGGTCTGTTTTGGAGGCAGCCCTGTTTGGACCATACTGATGGGCTAATAAGGGCTAGTTTAGTAGTTTGTATTATCTTTCCACAGAACTCCATTTTAAAGTGACCAGAAAAATTATTTAAAATGAAGCTGAGGTAAAGTAAGGATTGGATTTTTTATACAAAAGTGTTCGTCAAAAATAATTTTAAAGGAAACGACTCAAAGTAGTGGAAATGATTAATAATTGTTAGAATGGTCAAAACATCAAGATAAAACGTGGATCCCAGGAAGAATAGTATTTACTACAGTAAAGACTAATGGGATCTATTTAAATAAACAAAACATTTATGGATAGTAACAATAAAAAAACACCTGATAACATAAAAAGTGCTTTATTAAGACGCATTTAGAGATATTATGGGAAATGTAGAATAAGGGGATTTTTTACAGTAGAAATAGTAAACATGTGTAACCATCTTCCAGAATAGGACGTTCCTAACCATTCTGATGATTCATCTCGGTCAAGCGGTCATTTATCCCCGATAGACCTGATTACTGTTTACAGGTCTGCTGCAGGCTCCCAACAGACCACCAGAACAGTTTTTTTTCTCACTTGTGGCAACACTGAAAAGCATCATCACTCTGTCAGATAAAGTGGAGTGGGGAAAAAAGCGCATTTTGCAATAGAGCAACAACATTGTTGTTTATCGGCTTGGACTGGCCCAATATTATCCTGGGCTGTGATATGTGCTGACAGCAGGGATAGTGCTAATCTTAGCTTAGAGGCGTCAAGGCCACTGGATGTTATCCTCTCATGATTAAAATGATTCATACCCTCTGGTCTTACACAACCAATATTTTCAATCCACCTGTATTATTTCCCTCAATCACCTTGCACATATTCTTCTGTACCCGAGGCTTTTTTATCCACTCTTTTCACTCAGGAAAATAAAATAAAATTTGAAACGACAATACTTGAAGCAAACACTGAATACTTTGATTGTAGATAAAATAGTTCAGATCTTTTGAAGTGGGGTTCTGTTTATTGTTAATACCCATTTTGGATAACGGAAATCAAAGTTTAATTCTGACCAGACCAACTAGTCCATGGATGGTCAAGACCAAAGTGAATTTAAGTTATTTAAAAACATCTTGAACTCTAAAAATGTATTTGCTTTTCATGCAAACACTGCTGCTTTTACAGCCTCATTAGTTTTGCTTTGCATGATTGTTGACATCAAATTATAATAGTTTATAAAAACAAATAGCAGCAGCAGCTGGCTGTAGCCCTTCCAATGCAGTCTGGAGCACTTCTAACAGAAATATTATATTGCCAGAACCATGCAATGTAAAACCAACAGTGGTGTGAAGATTTATAAAACTGTGAATGCTTGAGTTATTGTAAGACAAAGCAAACCAGCTGCACTCAAACAGGTCCTCAATTCATCCAGAAAGCAGCTATCAACATGTATGATACATAACCTTTTCCTAAAAACATCAAAAATCAGAACTATCGCTTTACAGCCATTAGGCAAGAATGCTAAAAGGTTTGCTTAAAATCCGAGGTTGTTAATAGTGTGTAAACATTAGGCTTGCAGCATATAATCAGCACGTCAGAAATAATGTTGGAGTACTGCCTACAGCGGAGACTGGGTAAAAACAAACAAAAGCTGATGTCATGTTTTGTACTCACGAGGTCCATTTAGCCTAATGCTCTGGGACCAGAAAACCAACACCAGAGAGCACAAGACTACAGAAATGCACGGCATGTTTTCAGAGATTATTTTCGAGAGACAAACATTTCTCGTCTTTCAGACCAGAACAAGCCTGTTCCTCCAAATCACACATCAGGTTTGCCCTCGAAACCCTTCCCATCATTACCTGACTGATTCTGCACAGGTGGAACATAACTTGATGCGCGACTTCAATAAAACCACTTGAACGCTTCAAATTTTAGCATTTATTGCTTTCCATGAATACTATCATACACTGTTAAGCCTCCAATTTCCAGCAATCCGTTTTACGAAGGCAGTGGACATGTATTACAAGTCTACAAAAAAACTGATTTACAGATGTGTGCTGTAAAAATACGAATTATCAAAAGTGATAGTTGTACAACTAAGGTATAACATACAGAAAGTGTAAGTACTTTGTCTTTTGTTTAGAGTTTGATGCGGAAAACGCTAATCTTAAACCAAAGTAATGTTTTATCTAACCAAAGTGGTCACTACTGGCACAAATGTTGGCTTCTTACAGTGACAAAGCAAAACATTTTGCACACGTTTGAAGGGGTTGATGCTAATGAGTGCAAGGGGTAAGAAATATATATATATATATGTGTGTGTGTGTGCTTTATAGAGGGACAGCTTTTAGAGCCAATGTATCTGTTGTGTGTGTGTGTATATATGTGTGTGTGTGTGCTTCACGTAAAACACAGACATCTATGAGGTTTTGCTTCATATTTTCAATGACAAGTTTCCTCATTCACACATAAAGAGATGAGTTCATAAAAAAAACAGAAGTCAAAACTACTGTGCTTAGGCTAAAACACACTTCTGTCAAATGGATCTCCTTGGAAATAAATGACGAATGAAATACAAAGATACATTATCAAGGTTAAATTATAAGTTCAAATATAGAAATCAGGGGAAAAAAAATCTGACTTTTTTTGTTAATAGTGAAAAAAGGCAGTCTCCATGATTTCTTTCAAATAATCTCCTTCCAGTTTAAAGACCAGCGGACAAATGGTCGTAAGAGGCTGAAGCAGAAGAGAGCTTAAGATCCTTCTGTGAGGAGTCTCAATTCCATGTCACTTTTGGTCCTGGTGCCTAAAAGGTCCACAGTGCTACAAATATACCCTTGGGTTGGTATCATACAGTGTAAAAAAAAAAAAAAAAAAAAAAGGAAGTCAGTTGGTACGTTGAGCTTCTGGTTAGTCATGTTCTCCAGGCTCTAACGCAGTCTCAGCATGGTCTGAAATGTCAGCACCACCCTCTGTTGACAAGTCGGGGGAATTACTGGAAGAAGAGATCTGCCTGTCTCTGACTGAGCTCACTCCATCACAGCTGCTGCTGCTGCTCGCCTCACTGTCCTCCTCACAGCTTATGTTTGTCTCCGATGGATCCGGCTGCTCAGACTGATCATCAGAGTGGTCACTGGGGACACTGAGGGTAGCCTCGCTCTCAGCTGAGTCTCCTTCCTTCCTGGCTGGTTCAGTCTCTGTGCCAGTTTGCTCTGAGGAGAAAGCAGACGGTGACATAATGTTTGCCAATGATCAGTGGTGACTAACTACATATGGGCCACCCTAGTTTAATGGCTTTCATGGCTACGTTTTTAAATTTGAAAACAAAGTACAAAGGCAGTAAAAATATGAGATTGTATGTAACAGGATTTCAATATAACAAAAAGCAGGAAAACCGACAAGTCATTGGCACTACTCAAGTTGTCTATAGACAGCATCTGGTGGGGCAGATGCTTTTTATCATTCTAACCAGAGAACTTAGAGCAAACACTGTATTATGAGACACATCTTAAGCAATTTACCTTTTCATGTTTTTCTGCTCTGAATAATAGAAACAATGGGCCTCATGCAAGAATCTTTCGTACGAACAGATTTGTTCTTAAGTTGTGCGTACAAGTGGTTTAGGAGAATTTGTGGCATTCACCAATTTTCTCATAAGATTTTTTTCAGATACGAACAAAATGCATGAGTGGTCAAGACCTGTGGTATATTTTACGAGCAGTCAGTCTGCTGTTATCCAGACTGGTTTTTCTCATTAATAACTTTATATTTCATTAGTTTGAAGATATTTTGAGTTGAAAATAAATCACACTCCATAATTAATTAGATTTTAAATGTAACTAAAAACATAAATTGGTTAGAATAAATTAAATTGGCTTTTAATACTTTTGTATAACACTACAATATTAATATGAAGATCTCAAACTAAAAATCAAGTTTGGATATGCATTAATTGTAGTTTGGAGACATTTTAAAATG